AAATCATTCCAGGTAAAGCCCTAGTCCCGCCAAGACGTATGATTCGCTTCTCCTCGCCACTGCGAGATCAGGGCGCGCGATGGAGCGCCGCTGCACTTCTTTAAGCCGGGCAAAGTACGTGCTGTAGATTAGAGCGCGCGCTGCCGCGCGATGTGGTCACGCGCGCTCATTGCGCCATCTTGCTGGTAATGCTGGAAACACAATTCTCCCCGAGATTCTCGTGAGCAGCGGTAAGCGGTAGTTATAAATAGCTTGCCGTTTGAACACTGAAGAACGTGTTGCGAGGTGGCTGAGTGCGTTACGTCTCGCTTTCACGACGCAGAAATCCCTTGTTTGATTCCGCTTGTCGGAGTGTTCTGGTTTTTTCCTTGCATTTTTATGTATATAGATACGTATAGATATGCGGTGGGTGACGGCGACGTCCGACGCTGGCGGCAAAATGCAGCCGAGAGTGTCCATATAATTGCTATCGCAAAACTATACAGTTAAGATTGGGATGATGGATGTAATGCCGATGGTTCAGATGATTTCGAAAGTTAATTCGAGCGCGAAAACTTGACACGATTACTCACACACGCATACACCCTTGCATCAAACACACACAGTGCCCTGTGTTGGTGTGTGCATAGGTGTGTGCGTGTGTGAGTGATCGTGTCAAGTTTTCGCGCTCGAATTAACTTTTCAAAATGCTCTACCAACTAGCCCAACAACAAGTTCTTTTATAGTTCATATGATCACGATGACACGTTGAAGGACTGGACTGCTTGCTCACTTCCTGGCAAACTTCGGTTTATTTACAAACTGACACTTATTTACAAACGAAGGACGGGGTGGCCCCTAAACCAACCGCACAGTAAGCACTGACATGTATTAGTATCAACGTCGGCATTGCTTTCCGAGCCCTTCGTATGCTCCACACATCGAGACCAACTTCTCGATGTAGGATCAACCCTGAATCAGAGTCTGCGCTAAGCACGACCTCTGTCCCCGCTTCCCGATCTCGTCCTCAAGCACCAAGCTCCCCTTCTTTTCATTTCTCTTCATTGAATACCTCCCGTCTCATCTGAGACAGCCTCGTGGGACAAACCCCTACTCGATACTCCAGCAATGGAGCAAATAACTTCCTTTCCTCAGAGATGGGTATCCGCCCCTGCGTTCCACACTTTGCTATTCTCTTAACATCGGCTAAGAACTCCGTCATTTCAACGACGTACAGCTTAAATGCTTTCGTGCAACCACAAGTCTGTCTAGATGGCCGGCCAGCTGTCTGGCGTTAGTAGACACGATTCTGCCGTATAACCACACGTATTGTTACATACAGCATGGCGCCACATTACCTTGTCGGGAGGCATGTCGCGACAGCGACCACTTATTTCTCAGTGTGGCTCACAGTGAGAGCACTACCACCGTGTGAGAGACTCCTCAGCACAAGGTGCGGTGAACATAAGCTCTCGGGGTTCGACAACAAAGACGCGTTCCGAGGAGAACGGCTTAGTCCGCGTCCGCGCATCCTCTTTTCATTAACTTTTCTTTTTGTCTTGCACCGTCTACCGACTGGGCATCCTTCACGTGCCCCAAACATAACTCCTACCCTCCTCGTCACGTAAATTATGTCGCCTTTAACGGTATTCTGCCTTTTCTCTGCGGTCATCTACGACGGCGGGCCATCTTTCAGTCACGCACCAGTATGCTTCTTGTAAAACGCCATCTGTTTCCCAGAGTGCATGAAGTTTTTTGTGAAAAACCACTGGCTCACCCAGCTCGTCAATGACAAGCACCATTTCCGGGAGGTCCGCTAATTCTGCTTCCGCCTCCTGCAGTGGTTGGGGTAAGTGGCTTAGGGGACCCGAGGTGAACAAGTTTACCGGGTTTGCTAATAAGCTTGTATTTGGACGCCCCAAGCAAAAGCACTCATCGCTGAATTCAGGCAGCAGCCATGGCAGAAGTCTGATGGTCTGGTCACAGTCGCTCCAGCAGTGACCAGTGATCTGTTACGAGTGTAAGCTCCCGTCCCATAAGGTAATCGCAGAGCCTTCTGACACGAAACACTTGAGTTTGAGCTTCTCGCTTGTTTTGGGAGAACTTCCTTTCAGCGGAGACGAACGCTCACGAACGGAACCCAATTGGCCTGTATTCATGGGTTATACGGTGATAAAAAATAACACTGGCACAGTGAAGGGAAGCGTCGCATTCTAACAGCAGCTAAGCAACTCCCACTGAGCATCAAAGTGCGTTAGCACTGGGGCTCAGTGCAAAGTGTTCCTTGCCTTCTGAAATGGCGCGTTTTCCTTCGTGTACCAGACCCAATTTGACATTTTTTTCAAGAAGCTTATAAAAAGGTGCAAGCGCAGAGAAAAACGTTAGCCAGGAACTTGTACAAAACTACAACACTGTAAAAACAGTCCATAAGAGGCACGGGAAAGGTCTACTTAAAGCTCCACGTAAAGCTCACGGGCACTTCTTGTTTCGTGGGAAGAGGAAAAAAAATGGCCGTGGATGCCAACGGACGTAGTGCTCTTATTGTAGGTACGGAGACAATGTCCTTCTTCAGTGGCCCTTATGGAAAAGTCTAGAAGTTGGCTGGTCTGATTAGTTCTTTTATAGCCGAAATGCTACGACCAGGCCAATTTGTAGGGGTAACGATGTGTTGACAGAGAGCCTGGGTGCGTGTAACTTACATTCGTTTTTTCGTAGTTCCTCTTTAGTCTTGTTTACTGTGATATGAATACTCTTGACGCTGTTTGCGATATCGGCATCGCCGTCACGCACCATATCAAGTCCAAATCACATCCCCCCGGAAATCGTGTGTTCTAGTCACGGGTAAATGAACTCGAGGGCGCCCTACGAACGCAGCTAAAGCAAAGGGGAAGCAAGCCGACCCATCTCAGTCGCCCGAAGGGCGCATGCGATAACATTACCCGCGTGCGAGGCGTGTCGTTGATTGATGCTCAGGCAGAGAGGAAACGCCCTATCTGTCTTGAGGAATGCCGGGGCCTCGGGGAACAAGCTGGAAGCTTCCACAAAACCAAATGGGAAGACAGCCGCCAATTGGAAACTTCAAAAGTTTTTTTTTTCTTTCATGAAACAAAAATTGTTATGATGAAACTTGGGATATCAAAAGAAGTGCTTACTTGCTTTCCAGTTGGATATAATTGTTATCTTTAATTCGACCTCCACGTGGTGCAAATTGTCCTCAATGTGGACAAAGTTGATGATTTTGGGAAACTTGTGATTTTTTTTCTCGTAAAGTTTTGCGACTTGGGGGAGTACAAATGTAATTTTTTCGCAAAATATACCTTTTATGAAGTAATCAATATTTTTTCTCAAATATTCAATATAAGAGCAGTAATGGAATAAAAAAAAACTGCAAACATAACTCCTTTCGGCTAAATTCCTGTAGGTGTATGTGGCCAAAAATAGCACTATATTGATTACCTTAAAACACCTTTGCCCAGTCTCCATTACTTATTATATAAAAAATTTCGTATGGAAACAGGAAGTGACACTTTAAAAATAATTTTTTTTCACGAACAACAGCCACACTGACATTTGGATAAATTCGGAAAGCACTCACGTGACCACACTTTTTTTTCTTTCCAAAATTGTCTAGTGATTCACTGATTTCAATGCAGTAAATCAACAGGATATTTTTTCGAATCAATTCGAGGTGGTCGCCAAAATAGCTGGTATGTTTCGCGTGGAATGACCCCACTACAAACGGCACTGGTAGCGAGTAATGCTCCGGGCTTGGAGCTAAAGCATCAGCGCATTTGTGTAGGGAAAGAGTAGAATGAAAGGAGAGGTGAAAAAAGGGGAGAGAAGAGTCTGACCACTGCACCCTGCGTGCGCCTCGGAGAGTGTGATGACAAGGTCACGTGCTGTCACCGCGCGATGCAATCTACCAAAAATACAACTAAAATACTCAAAAGTATGTAAACTTTGTTTAGCGGAACATTCGCGCCTTCCGAGCAGAATTTCCGTGTTTTCGTCCATTTCTCATAACTTTTATTCATTATATCTTTAAATGGTAGACAGTGAAAATGTCTTCCGTACCCTACAACACGGAGTCCCTCCTAATATTAGAGGGGTGTTGGGACGCAAACATTTCTCGTTTTCTTCTTTCTTTTCGAGGATTCCACGCCACGTGCACTATCCCCCTCCCTTTTTTTTTTGGCACGAACACACAGCAGCGACACTCGTTTCAAATAACTGATAATGTGGCACAGTGGCATTGTTGCAGGTGAGTTGTTTTGCTAAAAAGAGCATATAAACATTATAAACATTGGTGATTCCATCTCAGTATCATCACTGATATGTCGTTAAAACCAGTATCGATTCAATGGTGGGTTCAACACGTTGTTATGAGCTTGCCGGAATTTTTCAATAATTGTGATCCCTCTGATGTGATATGTCCTGTCATCAAGCATTTCAGGGTTGTCAGATTGCGCGTACAACAACAAATACCAAACCTAGTGCGCTGAAATTAACAGACCTGGTGCATAATTATTTTTTTATTTCGGCAAGGAACTTTTTTGTTTCATTTGCTTCACAATAAAAAGTGGTTGGAATTGCAGGCAAAAAAATGCGTATACGTGCTGTGCACAACTAAATGTGTGAGTTCACATTGTCATTCAAACAGCGCGTACGAAAATTTCATGGTGTACTTATAATGTTTTGCATGCGAAAGTTAACTACGACAGCCTCACCATTTCTACGAACTGTCTTATTCTCAAGTACGCATGTTATTGTACTGCATTGGAGTGTGTAGTGATTACAACGAGCTTACACCGCAACCGCGAAGCAAGGTTTCAATATTGTTTCAGTAAGAAACTCCTCAGAGCGTGGCCCTCTTCGCAACACCAGAACACCATCGCGCGCCCCGATCCAGGCGGCCGGGCATCGGCGGGCCGGCTCGCGATAACATCTCTTCGACGTGGTCACGTGATGCTGTGTACGCGGCGCATGCAAGGTCGCGCATGCACGGTGCTCGCCATGCCAACATGGACGCTTGTCATGGCGGAACGTCGCGGTCGATGACTCGTTAGAAACGACCATGCTCAACGGCGATTTGCGACACCAAGACGTGTATTCGCTGTCCTATTCTGATCGGCTAACCGGTGGTTGCGCGAAGTCGGACAATATGCCACCAGAAGTTTGCGCAAGGTGTCGTTAACTTCACTGCTTCGAGCCACCATTGTGTCGGATCTTTCCCACCAAGCTGACGAGCGAACAAGTTTTGTGGATTTTGCTTTCAGGTAAGTCCTATCTTACGGCTCTCGTGAATTTTCCCCGCCTTTGGCCTGTTCGACTGCCGACAAAATGCTAATGCCTTGAATGTTTACGCTGCTTCGAAGTCGCACAGAGGCTTACACGAAAGCGACTTTTTCTTTTTTCGCACGTGCCTTCGGCGTATTTGTGAATTATGTGCAACGGTGTCGCGTGCCCCTGACCGTGAAGGTGGTTACCAAGGGATTTAGCGTTGTGGCCATGACAGCTGCTGTCACGTGTCGTGTTACAGTACGCTATGCGTTATAGTTGACGAAAATTCCTCTACGTCCCGGGTGAGCGGCCGCCAAAACTGCGCATCCCATCCTTTTCGATGCAGTTGTGTTATCAGGCGACACGACTGAAGTTCAGTTGGCGCGTTCCGTGTAGATACACAAGCCATTTTGATTAGCAGGTGTGTGCCAGCTGGGCTGCATCTGATTGCAATAATGCACTTATGAATATTAGCGCGGCATATTCTGCCGGCAGCGTTTATTTTACCGTTTGCAGGTCTTGTGCCAGCAGTATTTGCTTAAGTTACGTCCAGCTTGTTGTCCTTTTGGCTTTAGCGATTTTCGCAGTGTCCGTTAGTGATTTTTTCGTCTCAGTTGGGCGCCAGTAACCTATGCTGTGGCGCACCATGGCTCTCGCTATTTGGCTATCAGAAAAAAAATGGAATAAAAGAACAAAACAAAAACACCATACGGAAGAGATCGCCTGATTCGAGCAACGCCTAGGGATGCACAGCGCGTTAGAACGGGCGCTTGCCAAGCTCATAAGGCGAAAAGGAATGAAGAAGCTGCCTTCGCTGTGATGGTTTGGCAAGAGTGCCGACACATCAAGTACGAGCGGTATAGTCTCCGTTGCCGGGGCTATATTCACTTCCATCAATGTCTGCACCTTGTGTCCGCGAGTTTTTTGAAAAAAAGCAGCTTACTCGGTTTCTGAAAGATGGTTCAAAGTTCATTTAGCGACTGCCGCCTTTGACTGCAGCTCAATGAAACACTGTGAAGGTCTCTGAGATATGTCGTTGTCATTGCTCTCAATGTTTGCAGTGATGTCGCTGGCACTACTTGATATGATGTAGTATGAATGTTGCAGGTAAACACTTTAATACTATATTTAAAAAATATTTTGCCTTTATCTCGATACACAGCATCAGAGAAAAGGTGATACGTGGAAGAAATAACAATATAAATTGAACATGAAACTGAAATATACTTGCATTTTATATTCAAATGGTTAGGTACTTAGCATTAGTCACAAGCAACTATGAAATTACTTCATTTGGTGCTGTCACTTGGAGGTGAAGCCAGCTGTGCTTCTTGGAATGAGAATACTTAAATTTGGCCAGACCACTTTGCTGTCTGTGCAGCTTCAGGCAATATCGGTAGCACCAGCTGGACAGCGAAGTGAGTGCAATACGGTGTCGTTTCACGTTGGTCTAATAGTGTGCAAGTGTTAGTGAAATTCAGCACTTTGCATAATTTGAATAGATGACACAGAATTTATACAGTAAATTCCAAAGTGAGTTTTCCGGCCTTCTTTGGAGGATTCCAATAATGCGACCGCTTGTCTTCGCTGACCATTTTCACTCTTTTATACTATTTATGCGCCAAACTAAAACAGTTAATGCAAGGGTGTGTAGCTTATGAAGAACATTGCTGCACTACCCCTCCCCCCTATCTATCTCAAAGGATGAAATTCTGCTGCCATGCTTGCTTTGTTGTTGTTTGAATGCCTAAGTTTTTTTGCTGCGTACTGCAGGTAGCAAATACAAGTTCCCTGACAGACATTGCAGTGCTGACCACACAGTGAGCCAAGCATACCATAAGAAGTGCTCATTCAGCATCTTGGACTAACTCAAAGGTAATGTACAAAGTTTCATTTATTGAAGAAAAGTGTTGTTTTGAGCTAGTCAAGTCGTAGTGAAACTATTGCAAAGTAAGTGAGGGTATACAAAGTAACATCAAGATGTATTCTACCTACCAACTTAACACTACTCCTGCCAAAGTGTTAATTATGTGCAACCTTTTTTGAGGGAAAAGTGAAATGATTTCATAAATGAGCATAGCTGAAAATCGCTGCACAACCAGTCACTGTAGTTTTGTACTCATTAATATGTGGCCCTTGTTCTTGTGACCTCCCACTGAGATAAAATTGCTTCACATAAACAACAGTACAAAGGCTCTTGCTAGCTATAATAAGAAATTATATTTATCATAGTTTTTAGTTCCAATAAATTATGCTGTAGAAGAGTACTCCACCTAATTTTCACCATGGCGAGTGCATTTCGTCTGGAATTGTGACTTTGTTTCGCAAAGTGTTGCCTTTCTGTATAATGGGGTACTGGCAAGCGGAATTTCGCAAAATCTGTAAAACTTTATTGTTTCTTGCAGCAAGCATTGTTATCTTTCTTGTAAATGCATGCATAGTGTGAAGAATAGTCACCCAATTTGAAATTTACAACCTTATGATTGTAGTGTCTTGAAGTGTCTTTACTGTATGAGATTTATTTCTGCCAAACATAAACCTAGTTTGTATCACTTTTCAAGGTCAAGTGTTAATTTTTCTTTGTACATTTGCAAGCACACTTTCACCTCTGGTGCTAATAAACAACAGGCTTGAGTGATGTGCCTGATTCTTGTCTATAAAATTTATAGAATACCTGAGCACAATTATTGGCTACTGTGTGCACGTTCTACGCATCTAGATATAAAAATAGAGAATGCAGCTGGTAGCATTGAATACTGTGTTCAGAAGCTTGTATACACTGCGAAATCTTGCAGGTGCCGAAATTTGTGGTGAGTGTACGGTGAAGCGACTGTTAGCTAGCAATTCTGCGTTGTTACAGCTGAGTGCACAATGGAGCATTTTTCAGCTGCTCACGTAATTCGAGCAGATGTCGATCACGTTCACTGTGGTACAACATTGCCACAAAGTTCATGCATCTGCATCCTGCATACCGTGAACCCCTATGTGAAGCATCATGATGCTGTGATGGGGGCAGGTAAATGAGAACTGGGTTTTCTCTGTCTGTCAACATCATTACACAGGTTTGCCTACTGCACTCGAGTAGATTCAGCATCCACTTGCAGCTACAGAGTCAGTAGTAACAGCATATTTCAACAGTAGAATCACCTGTATATTGCATTTTCAAAAAACTCCATTATTTCGTGACACCTTAACGTCACAGCTTGCTCACCGATTTCTTGGTGGTGGGACATTACAAGAATTTTTTCTTATATCATGCAAAATAATTCCATTATTTTTATACTGAATAATAAATTCATGCTTTTCCACTGCTTCCTCCCAACTAAAGCTTAACTTCTGCATGATTGTCTCAATGGTGAGAACGAGAAACCAGGCCAGAGAAAACAATAAGGTGCTCCATTATAACAGAAGAGAGTATTGATGAGGTTCAGTCTATAGCTGAAATTTTTTTTAAAAGGCACCAATGTGGATTTCATGTGAGTGTTTACAAAGTATAATTTTGTTGTGCTACTTGTGTTATTGCAGGAAGCACCTCTCAAAAGCAGTGATATAAGGAGTTGAGCCACAAGTTCTTTTCAACGAATGGATCAGATGCCCTGAGAACCACTGGCCGGCTGCTTCTGGACTACACAGACAGTACAGCCGCCACAGTAAAGTTCTTGCAAAGGTGTGAGACATTCCTATGTTGCATAGAGTGAGCATGGTAATTGTCAATTTTACAGTTATGTCTGCAAAAGTATTTCCCCGCACAGTGTTTTTTACATTCTTTCAAAGTGCCATTAGGCAGCTTTGGCTCTGTCTTTCTTTTTATCACCTTACAGACGATCTTGCTAATTTATACAGAGTGCTGCAGCAATTGCATTGTGTGAGTATCACAGAAACTTCCTTTCGAAAAACAAATATGGTGACCCCTTCATTGCCTGACCAGTGTATACTCTTCGCTAGTGAAGTGATGTGATTTTGCACTGACCGTAGGTTTGTTCTCTCTGCAATATAAAATAGTGTTTTGGTCCTAAAATTACTCCGTATAAATTGTTTCGTTGTGAGGCCTGCTGCATATTTGTTTATCTAACCTATGCCTTGCACAGTACTTCCTCACAATGCCGATTTAGTGCAACGGCACATCAACGAGGCCTTGCTTAGTTGATAGCTGCATGTTGATTGCACAATCACTGACGTCTTGCTTTATTGCCATGTGACTCTAGTCATTATGGTAACGTTTGCGTGCCCCTCTTCACGATGAGAACGACGGAGAAGCCGAGTGAGAAACTGAAAAGAGCTACAATGTGTGTTTTATTGGCTGCCGACTTCATCATTTTATCATGTGAGCACAAAATTTGTGGCAACGCATTCACATTTTGCAAGTTTGCAGCTGTCGGAAATTTCAGACGGTGAAGGTGTTTAGTAGCTTTCTTCATTTCAATTATGAATGGTCAATTTATGCACTGCAAGACTTTGTTTATTTATATTTTGCCCTTCTCATCTGTGAAATAGTATACAGCTGCTGTCGACATTTATGTGTTCATTATACGAAACATTCTGTATGTTCAATATGTACCATCAACAGCAAAATTTGCGGAACACGAAATGTTCAATGAAGCTTAATTTTCGCTTTATGCGATAATGTAACTTTGAAAGAAATATTGTATACTGCACTTCGCATTCTGACCTATGCAGTCACCAATCTAATTACAAGCATTAGGTACCTACGTAGCAGAAATTCGCATTTGTAGTGGATTCAACATCGACCAAGCTTTTCCTGTTGCTAGTACTTTCATGGCACTAGCGCCACCTCCTTTCTCCCATTTAGCAGCTACATAGCTGGCAGTTGATTGCTTTGCTGCTTTGTTTACTTAATACCTATTCAACCGGCGCATCTGAAACGGTGTTTCGGGTGCACTTGCATGATTAAGTGTTTAATATTTTATTAGTTGTGGAGCTTTTTTCGGTTTTTCGGATTTTACATTTTGGCAACACTGCTGTTGTTACCAGAGCAATCTGTAGATATCAATATTGACTCTGATAAGTTTTGGCTCACAAAGAAAAGCTGATCAGTTGCCGAGGTGCATAGCCTGTGCCACAGCATTGTAGGTTACCAGAAATACATTCTAGGCTGGATAATATGTTGCTCCTTGCTACTTGCGTGTCTTGCCTTTACTGAGAGCTCTTTTCTTAGTTCTGAAGTTTATCTTACGTGGCTTACAGCTATGCTACCATGTGAACAACCCCGCACTGAGTGAATTTGATATTTAGGGCAGCAGTTGCACTTTTGAAGGAGGCGAAAATGCTAAAGGCCTATGTGCGTTTGAATTGACATTTACATTCAGAAACCCATTATTATTGTTACATAGAGTGAACAAAGCGATAATTCTACATTGTATACATATTTCAAATAGGAGAGGTGAGCTGCTTGGTAGGTGAGTATGCATATTAAAATTGCAGGGCATGCAAACATGCACTCGAGATAGTAGTCCAGATATCACAAACACCAACTGGAAAAGTTGACATTAAGCTGAAAATGAATATCGATCAAGATGGCATGCCTGTTGGTCTATGTGAGAGATAACTGCTCATCATTTGATTTCTTTGTTGAGTTATTCGACAGTTGGCTTACACATGCACCAGCACATGTCGCTATGCCAAGTCTCAACCATTAAATGTATTTCTTCATTTATGTGCTATGGCGCTCTTTGGCCAAGTATGGCCCTTGCGCCATTAAAACCCATATATCATCATCATTAGCATAATTTTTGTGCTTATACGAAACTGCATGATTCGAACTTTGGCAAGCATTTACGTCGTGATATAAAGTTAGGTTTATTGATGGGCTTCTGGTTAACTGCCTTATATGCTCCGTTGGTCTGCCTTCTCATTGTTAGTTGACATCTGAAGTGTCGTGACTCACCTGCGGCCATGTTTGCATGCCCAGTCTTTTCAACATGTATGCATATGATGCGTAAGAAAAATAGGTTATTGAGTGAGTATTAAGAAGTTAAATTTATTTCTAGTGTAAAATGTTGTTTCTGTTTTCTTCTGTTACACTTCTTGCTTAAGAATCACTGGCCATTATTTTGGAGCCTTCTAATGGGGTATGCATACATACATAAACAGTGGCTAAACAGATGTACATACATAAAGCAGTAGCTGTCAGCATGCTTTCTTGACTGCTACCTCATGAAGCCAAGAAAGTCAAGCTGTGTTACATAGAGCATGCTAGAAACAGTGAATAATTTCTAATGTTTTTTTTTGTTTTCTTGGCAGACAAAGGGCAATACAGATGGACACACAGAAGCCAATGGGATGCCTCAGACACTGTGACTGAGCATTAACTTGTAAGTATTTGCGAGTTCGTGGTCTTGTCATGATAGTCTGTGAAGTGGTTTCTTGACCATTTGCAATAATTACCAAAACTGGTGCTTTGATGCCTCAATCTGGGAAGAAGTTGTTCCAGCACTATTTTTTGGGGAAATCTTTCTAATACAGCAGAGGTCTTTCAAACCATGTGCTAAGAAATTCACTTATCGGGAGAAAAATAACTGACACATGATTGTTGCTTCATGCTTTTACCACAGTCTGTTTCTTTGTCAGCAAAATTTCATGACTATATCGAAATAGTTTTTGTTTTAAATAATGCTAATGTTGGTCATGAGGAAACATGACAAAATTGAACTCGGCTGCTGACCCGCAGGTCGCGGGATTGAGTCCCGGCAGCGGCGGCTGCACTTCCGATGGAGGCGGTAATGTTGTAGGCCCGTGTGCTCTGATTTGTGTGCACGGTAAAGAACACCAGGTTGTCGAAATTTCCTGTGCCTTCTACTACAGCGTCTCTCATAGTAATATGGTGGTTTTGAGGCATTAAACCCCACATATCAATCAAATCAAACATGGCAAAATGCAGTGTTTTTCCTATATTTTTTACAAGAGTGATTTTTTTCTTGTAGAATAAAATTACATAGTTTGTTTTAAAGGCACTTACCAAGAGTTAAACATACTTCTGACTCTAAAACTTGAAGACGCCTTCGCACATATTTACCCTGGGTTCTTTGGCTAATAAGACAGTCTTTGAAGCATAAACGTAAAGGGTGAGCATTGAATTGAGAAGAAAGGTTTACTGTCCAGATCTTAAAATTCTATAAAAAATTACATGACATTTGTCTTATGGCATCATTTAAGACAATGATAGGGGAGGGGGGCTTGAATAAGCGTGAAATCAATAAAGAAAGTTTGTTTTTGGAGCCAATCAAGATTTTTCAAGATTAGGTTGTTTTGAATGTTTGAAAAAAATTGTTTGTTTAGGTCGTGGCAGTAACCTTGAACGGTTCGCTGCTCTCGTAAATGGATGTCCTTTTGTCAAATCACTCATTTTTAGCATCATGGACATAGTGTGATAAAATGGTTGAGCAGCCAGACCCCTGCTAAGTGCCTTGTTATCGGCAGCTTAAGTTTTGCACCCAGTAATATGAAGCATTTGTTAAAGTTAAGGATTTAAAATGAATGTGTTGAGATGTGTACTTCATGGAAAAAAGCATTGAAAAAATGTTAGAGCTTGTTATTCCACAACAGAACTTTTCTTTTATTTACCGAGGCAGCAAACTGCAACAAGTTGCTGCCACAACTTGGACAAGTTGTCTTAATCAAACATTGGCTCGAACAACACACTTAGTTTAGCGATGTGACACTGATTTAAGCCCCCATCTTCATGTTATTTCTTGCCATAATAAGATGCAAAACTGTTATGTAGTGTTTATTGAATTTTAAGAAACTATGTATGCAAGCCTTGCTTATTAATTTAGTGCTCGCCATTTGTGTTGATTCACTATTTATTGTCTTCATCAGGCTAATACCTCCACCATGATGCTATGAATACGGCAACGTGTACCCATCCAGCACTCTGTCACGCACAGTTACAGAGTGCTGGATGGGTTGAGGCTACGGAAACGACAACGAAGTCCTGAAGCTCTTATCTCACAGCTCCTGTTTCTCCCTCCTATGGTGCCGTTACAATATGTTCCCTGCCGCACGTAGGTCTTTGCAGTGGTCTACAATATGACTTGTCTCGTGTAAGATTTCATATTATAATGCAAAATTTTTTTGTTCACCCCACATAACTTTCCTTTGTGTTAGTAGTTACAGAAATTGTGACTGCCTCACCTTGACACTAAATAAATGAAATTTGTTATGGTAGTCTTTTATAAATTCTTTTGCAGTTAGAATATAGTGTGTTTAACGTTAAGGTCTTTCTTGCCTACTATACCAATAGGTCTTGGCAGCATCCTGCTGCTTGTTCTGCATGTAATAAGTTCTTGTCCAGAAATACCATCTGCTTTTGTGATTCATGACATAGTGGGGTAACATAGGTGACGTACGTAGTAGACACCATAGTGGTTGAAACTCTTAAAATTGCTGCTGCTACAATAACTGTTTTTTTGTACTTCTTTTTTAGACAAACAGAAAGGAGCCAAGTGGAGCTGTTCAGGGACCGTGAACACAGTTTTATAAGCGGCTTTTCAGCACTGTTGACAATTATGTTTCTCAATACATCGGCCAAAGTTGTGTTCATAGAAGCGTCTAGTAGTGCATTTCATTGTTCAATTGGCATGCTGCTGCAGGTGGGATTCACACATCTGCAAGATGTGTGAGTCACACATCTTGTGCATACAATCGTGTATGCATACACGATTGTATGTGCATACAATCACACATCAGATTCACACATCTGCATACACATGAACTTCCCCCACATAAACTCTGGATTTGCGGCTTAACTGTGAATTGTTTACTCTGACCTTGCACAACAATTATAACAAAATGACATGAAAGCTTTGGCATTTATGCGGGTAGCGTTCTCAGTATACACTGGCAATAAGTGTGCAAAGTTGAATCAGTCCACGGGTCAAAAATTTTCTTGTAAACGTTTATAGATAGAAGGCTGGGGTTGTTGGAAGCTGATACATGGTAACAAATGGACTTCGACTCCAAACGTTTTCTGTTTTCTCACCTTTGTACATGAGGTGGCATAGTCAAATCGTTCAGGCAGCAGCTATGTCTTGTCACTCAGCAGCATTTAACAAGCTCTGTATAAGAACATGTTGCATGAAAAGCATAAGCAACATTCTCTTTACGTTCTTGAAGTTTGAGTGACAAATTTTGATTTGTTTTGCCCATGAAAGTTGCGTCGCAAGCTTCTCATTATACTTTATTGATGACCTCACTCAAAACTTCAGTGCTTTTCGGCATACCTTGGGATATACGTTCATGGACCACACACCTGCGCATGATCGGAGGAAGGCCTTCTACAAAGTACACAGGGGTTCATATTCAAAGAAAAGCGGCGCACAAAAAAGACGGAGACAAAGAAGAGAACCACACACAGCGCTGCAGTCACAACTGAAAGTTTAATCCGAGCAACAAGAATTTAAAAAGTAATAGCCGCGCATGACAAGTGACCGCTGTATCAATAAAAGGTTGACAAGTGGCCGCTGTATCAATAAAAGGTTGCGGGAGCACTATCTCTCTTTGCATAACAGCACGCCTTCCCATTTAGCTTCGCATTGTGCCACGTGTGGGTGCACACCTCTTCTGTCTAACACTGTTATTATTTTTAAGCACCACGATCAATTCACCCGTGAGGTGTCTGAAGCCTATCATATTAACAAGTCACGTGATGCTTGCGTAAGCCAGACCTCGGTTACATTGCACAAAAAAGAGTTCACTTTTATTGATGAGCGTATCACTTAATCTCGTTGTACCTCACTTGTCATGCGCGGCTATTACTTTTTAAATTCTTGTTGCTCGGATTAAACTTTCAGTTGTGAGTGCAGCGCTGTGTGTGGTTCTCTTCTTTGTCTCCGTCTTTTTTGTGCGCCGCTTTTCTTTGAATATGAATACGCACCAACTCGCCCAACTTTCTATTCTGTTACACAGGGGTATTGCAATGCCACTGTTATTGGCAAAATGGGCAGAAAGAGTTCAGAGGTTTAAACACTGCAAAGGGGAATGTTGCCATTGCCACCAGTTCAGCTTGTTCGAAGACTGAGTTAACTGCTAGACAACAAGGCATAGCTTCTATATAAACGTGCTTGAAAGTGGCTTGGAGGCAGATCGGGGGGGGGGGGGGGTACTTGAAATATTGGTTTAGTTGTTGTCAACCTTTAACTTCCAAGAACAACATGTTCACGAGGATGTATATTGCTAAAGAACTGGTCTACCTTCGCTGACTTGTTGCCAACATATGCTGCAACTGCCACCTGCATTGGTGGGTACACTTCTGTGCAACTTTAATAATTGCAATTCCAAGTAAACTTTTTACACTCACACGTAGTCACACGTAGTTTGGAACATCTTTGCATGTACGGATTGACTAAACAAAACAAAATCTGCAAAGTGGGGAAAGGAAGGATATGTGAGCTTTCCACGGGTAAGTGTTTGGCCTTGTTGGTGTAACATTTTCTCAAAGTTCAGCGTAGCACTTCAAATCACAAGGATGGAACAGGCTTGTGTATGTTCGGCCTGTCCCACCTTCGTCGTTTCAGTCGCACGATTAGCTTTCTAAACATGTTATGTCCTCTTTGCGCCTTTCTTTGCTGCACACTCTATTCTTGTGTTATTTGTCTGGTGTTTTGTTCAACTGGACTCCTGTTCAGCTTGGTGTTGTGTGCTTAACAAACAGGTACTTAAGAAAGCTATCCGTGAATGACTGCATTCATTCCTCAAAATCATGCTACCTGTGCAAAACATATAGTACGTTTTATTTATTCTATGAACCCTGTGTTTCCTTGCAGATGAAAGTTAATTAACAAAATTAACTAAATAGCTAAATTAACAGCGTGTCCAGCCAACAAAACTCTCCGTCAAAAAACACAAATAACTCACGTTCACTGGCACGCAGAACGTAAATGAAATCCTTCATTACTATATTTTGCAAGCAGGCTGCATGGAACAGCTGTGATGCGGCATACTGTTGTACGGAACAATGCAGCAGACTGTTGTGCAGAAGAATACAGCAGACTGTTGTGTGGAACAGTACAAAAATTTTTTGTATTAGTTGCAATAACGTATGGAATACGTAAGAACACCTTGTTCGAAGGAAATTGTATTTTCATCACGGAAAAAGATCTCTCGCCTTAATAGAGTGATGGGTTGTTCTGTGGTAGCTGTGCTGAAGCATGACTTCCGTGAAGAGGCTACGTCTTAAGGAGATAGTTGTACTCATGCTCACGGAATTGCTCGGTACCGCTATACCTTCAGCATTCTTCGTGAAAGAGGGTCCTCAATTTTTAGAGTGCATCGTTAAAAGGGATCGCAACACAACCATGTTTTGTGGCAATGAGGCTAGTCTGCTTGCTTCGAAGTTTTTTTTTTCGAGTGGATGCCGTCTCTCCGCATCTGTATGATTCCCAGAATACGTCACTGACGATTCACAAAGCCCGCACTTGTCTGCGCGAACCTTAATATCATTCTTGCGAAATCGCTGCAACACTTCTTGCAGATTAACACTTCCATTTTGTTGCTCTGGAATATAAGCCTATTATCCAATATATGTACGAGTCCCTTTTAGCCCATATGCAGCACCAATTGAGTCTTCCGTAGGAATATTGCAGGAGCTGACGCGATATGAAACAGTAATCTATTGTAAAGAACAGCCCTCTTGGTGTGTTTATCACTGATGATTTCGGCGAGCCTTCAGTTAGCTCGATCTGATGGTATGCGTCACGAAGATCTTATATACTGAAATGTGATTCCTCGGCATATGTTTGAAAAAATGTCGATAACAGGGAAAAGATACTGTTCAACGTTTTATCCAACCTCGCACACTGGGTTTTTTGTCACTTATTGTCACCGCATGTTTGAACTATTACATTTTTTTTTAAAACTGAAACATTTCAGTCGCCCATGCGAAATGAGAGACTGAAAAAATCACGCCTGTAAAGACTTATTGGTCAAGCGCTTTTGACAGTAAATCTAAGAGTGCTAAAACAATTTTTTTGCCTTGAAAAACTTGGGGATTGATGCCGTCTTGATGTGCAGCCATATTGGTAGACTTTTCATCGATAATGATTGATTATGGGGGGTTTAACGTACCAGTATTACCATATGAATATGAGAGACGCCGTAGTGGAGGGCTCCAGAAATTTTGACCACCTTGGGTTCTTTAACGTACACCCAAATCTGAGCACATAGGCCTACAGAACTCCTGCCTCCATCAAAAATGCAGCAGCCGCCTCCACGGAGGTTCGGTCCCGCGACCTTGTGGTTCAGCGGCCGACTTAGCCACTAGGCCACCGCGTTGAGGACCTTTGATAAGACCAGTGCCCTCAGTAAAAAAGTCACTGTTTTGCTGGAGGAGCTTCTGAACAACCTCCTGGGAGTGACTTGCTTTGAAGGCTGCGGATACACGTTGAGAACTTAAATGCGTTCATCTGGTAATTTTGTTTCGACAGATTCCAGTCGCAAGTAGCTAAGACTATCACTGTCTGAAGCGTCAAAATTCACTGCAGTTTTGTAGCTCCGTGAAAAATAGGTAATTGTTAATGCACCAAAGAGCGGAAGTTTTCGCAGACAGCGTGCAAGCTGTAGTTATCTCTTCTGTAGCTATGGTCGATGATTACAGTAGATCTAATAGACGCTGTGAGGAATAACGCAAGCATAAGAGCCCGTATCAATGTTCAACGTTACTTCAATGCCATTCTTTGTTAATGTTTTTCTGCTAGAAGGGATGAGTGAGCGCTTAGTGGTCAAGTAGCAATTTCGCGACGCGTTCTTATTGCTGTCTTCAGCTTCTGTCGCCTGTGTGGTCAGTGCTAGCTTTCTGCTTGTTTTGTTGATAGATATGTGTAGTTAAACGTCCCAATACCACCATATAACTATAAGAGACGCCGTAGTAGAGAGCTCCGGAAATTTCGACCTCCTGGAGTTCTTTAACGTACACCCAAATTTGAGCACCCGGGCTTAAAGCACTTTCGGCTCCATCGAAATTGCAGCTAGCTTAGCCGGGATTCAATACCACGACCTTCTTGTATCGTCGTTCCCCGTGAAGATTGTGGCTAAATTTCCTCGCCATATATATTTCAAGCACCTGTGAGTTATTAGACAACAAGCGTTCGGTTCTGTGACCACGCTTGCAACAAAAACCTCATTTTCGTACGCCCGGTGACTCCTCACCCACCTCTAACTGATCCCTCAACTAAAACAGACTCGCTTGCTCCTTATTCGAAGCAATGCCTTGCGAATCACGCTTGGTGCTTTCTCTGGCAAGGGCCTCCCATTCTTGAAGACTAACCTCTATATTTTCTGTACTTGTAGTTTTTTGGAAATTCCTGAACCTGACTCCAAACACAACAGGGTGCCAAACATCTTGTCCGGCATCGCCCAAAAATTAAAGTTTTGGGCTATCTGTCAAATAGCCGCGATAAATGCTTGTTATTGCCGGCATCCGTGAAACAATTTGAAGCTTTCGAAATTTTAATTTTGTACCAGGTCGTAGTAGCTGTTTAACGTCTGCACAAAGTACGCAAAGGTCGGAGCATTAGGTTTCCGTGGCACTACTTTTACGTTCAAGATTTCA